TAGGGTTTAGGGTTTAGGGTTTAGGGTTTAGGGTTTAGGGTTTAGGGTTTAGGGTTGAGGGTTGAGGGTTTAGGGTTTAGGGTTTAGGGTTTAGGGTTTAGGGTTTAGGGTTTAGGGTTTAGGGTTTAGGTGTTTAGGGGTTTAGGGGTTTAGGGTTTAGGGTTTAGGGTTTAGGGTTTAGGGTTTAGGGTTTAGGGTTTAGGGTTTAGGGTTTAGGGTTTAGGTTTTAGGGTTTAGGGTTTAGGGTTTAGGGTTTAGGGTTTAGGGTTTAGGGTTTAGGTTAGGGTTTAGGGTTTAGGGTTTAGGGTTTAGGGTTTAGGGTTTAGGGTTTAGGGTTTAGGGTTTAGGGTTTAGGGTTTAGGGTTTAGGGTTTAGGGTTTAGGGTTTAGGGTTTAGGGTTTAGGGTTTAGGGTTTAGGGGTCGAGGGTTTAGGGTTCATACGACATACTACTGCATTTTGCGGTTCCGGTTGTGGGGCTCACAATTCTACTATGGTTTTCTGGGTTCAGGGTTCCCGAAGCGCCAAACCACGACCCTAAACCCTGAACCCTCCTGATACTAACAGTCCTGAATAGGGGGTACTATAATCCCTCGTAAGGACTGCTAGTATAAGGGGGAACATCCCAACCCTAAACCCTAAAAGCTGGAACCCTGGACCCGTCACATTGGGGTTCAGGATGGGCCGACCCGCGGCAAGGTCCCGAAGAATGGCTTGACCTCCCCTTCTCAGTAGAAGGCTCAGCCGGTTTAGGGTTTAGGTTTTCAGGGTTTAGTGTTAGGGTTACGGTCCCTGAACCCTAAGCCTAGGAAAGAACTGAGAGGACTTAAACCACTCTACTTGGGCAACCTGCCCTTCTTGAAACCCTGAAAGCCTGAAACCGTACACTGATCCGCGAAACGTCTGACCCCTAATCCCCCAAACTCTGAATCCCTAAGCCCCTAAAGCCCTAAACCCCTAAACCCCCTAAACCCTAAACCCCCTAAACCCCCTAAACCCCTAAACCCGTAAACCCCAAACCCTAAACCCTGAACCCCAAAACCCCTAAACCCCTAAACCCCAAATCCCTAAACCCTAAACCCTGAACCCAAGACCCCACAATCCCTAAACCCTAAACCCTAAACCCCAAACCCCAAACCCCAAACCCTAAACCCCCCAGGCCTGTGCCAGCCCAGGCCACCAAAGTCGAGCGGAAGGCACCTCCCCAAGCTTCTGCAGAGGCTTTGGGTGTTTAGGGTTTAGGGGTTAGGGTTTAGGGTTTAGGGTTTAGGGTTTAGGGTTTAGGGTTTAGGGTTTAGGGTTTAGGGTTTAGGGTTTAGGGTTTAGGGGTTGGCAAGTATGTAGGATTGAAGGTTCAAGGTTGGGGTTTAGGGTTTAGGGCTCAGTTGTAGGTGCAGGCTTTGCGGAAGATTCTCAGATCATTCCATGACCCGACCGAGGGCGAACAGCAGCTGGGTTGTACTCTTCCCCAGACTGAGTGTGTCGCAGAAGAGCTGATCTCATGTTGGGGTGTGGGGTTTAGGGTTTAGTGGCAAGGGTTTGGGGTAGGGTGGGGGGTTTTGGAGTAGGATTAAGGGTTTAGGCCTTAGGGTTGAGAAGTTGGGGAGACGGGCTCTCATTTCCCCCCCCCCTGCCCCCCCCCCCCTCCCATTCCCCTCCCCCCCCCTCCCCCCCAGCACATGCGTTTTCGGCTGTGCGTTTTAGGGACATGCGTTTTCGGAGATGCGTGTTTGGACATGCGTTGTTGGGACATACGTTTTCGGGACATGCGTTTTCGGCGGGGGGCTGTTACGCATCTTCTAAGTACTGCAAAATGCATGTTCCAGCTCTCCTGGGCCGCAAGCTTCTGATTGTCAGCATCCGGGCGAGGGGTGCCGGGGGGAAACTGAACATTTGCACATTTTTGGACATGCATTATTGGAACATGCGTTTCCGGACATACATTTTTGGAACATGCATGTTTGGAACATGGGTTCTTGGTATGCATTTTTGGAACATGCGTTTTTGGATTCGGTACGAACGTGCGTTTTCCGAGATCCGGGATTCCCAGGCCTTTTCCATAACGGCCCTAAACCCCCCACACACCCAAAAAAACAAGAACAAACAAAGAAAGCCTTCGTCCCTCGGAAGCTGGCCGGGCTGGTCGTGGCGCAAAGCTCCTGCCGTTGAGAGCTCGGGGTCTTTAGGGTATAGGGAGCAGGGCTCACAGGGCTCAGGGCTCCAGGCTCCAGGCTTTAGGCTTTAAGCTTTAGGGTTTAAGCCTTAGGGTTTAGGGTTTGGGCTTTAGGCTTTAGGCTTTAGGCTTTAGGGTTTAGGCCTTAGGCTTTAGGCTTTAGGCTTTAGGCTTTGGGCTTTGGGCTTTGGGCTTTGGGCTTTGGGCTTTGGGCTTTGGGCTTTGGGCTTTGGGCTTTGGGCTTTGGGCTTTGGGCTTTGGGCTTTGGGCTTTGGGCTTTGGGCTTTGGGCTTTGGGGCTTTAGGCGTTGGGGCTCAGGGCTTAGGGCTTGGGGCGTAGGGCTTAGGGTTTAGGGTTATGGGTTATGGGCTTAGGGTTTAGGGTTTAGGGTTTAGGGTTTAGGGTTTAGGGTTTAGGGTTTAGGGTTTAGGGTTTAGGGTTTAGGGTTTAGGGTTTAGGGTTTACAAAGCAAACCCTACCCAAGCCTCTGGGGCACGGCGACCAGGCTTCTTCACCAGCTGCACCAGCCTCCGGTGATTGGGGCTGCGGGTTTCTCGGAGTTTGGGGCACCTAGGGCTTAGGAACTGCGGCTTGGGATTTTGGGTTTAGGGTTTAGGGTTTAGGGTTTAGGGTTTAGGGTTTAGGGTCTAGGGTTTAGGGTTTAGGGTTTAGGGTTTAGGGTTTAAGAACTGGGGCTTGGGGTTTAGGGTTAGGGTTTAGGTGCGTAGGGCAGGCGCATCTGAGCGAAGAGATTAAACTTTCGCGTTTCTTGATGGAGCCTGATGGAGATTCCCTGCGCCCCCACCCGTTTTGAAAAGCCTGAGCCCTAAACCCCAAAAGACTTCAAACCTCCACCCCGAAGCATCAAAACCCTAAACCCTAAACCCTAAAACCCTAAAACCCTAAACCCTAAAAACTCAACCCTAAACCCGAAACCCTAGACCCTAAGCCCTATGAAGCCTAAAACATCCCTCGTCCCTCAAGCCTGAACCCTAAGCCCTGAAACCCGAACCGTTGAGGGGTGTGTAGTTTCTTGTCGGCTTTAGGGCTAAGGCTTGAGCCCGAAACCCTACACCCCAAACCCCAAACCCCAAACCCCAAACCCCAAACCCTAAACCCTAAACCCTAAACCCAAAACCCTAAACCCTAAATCCTAAACCCTAAACCCAAACCCCAAACCCTAAACCCAAGGCACCGAGCTCGGCACCGCACCTGGCGGCTTCGGGGTTGATTTCCTTGAAGAAGCCAGGGAAGCCTGTCAACATGGTTTAGGGTTTAGGGTTTAGGGCTTAGGGTTTAGGGTTTAGGGTTTGGGGTTTGGGGTTTGGGGTTTAGGGTTTAGGGTTAGGGTTTGTTTCCGGGCTTTCGTGTTTAGGCTTTTTAAGGTTCAGGGTCTCCAGGGTTGCGGGGTTTTCGAGTTTAGGGTTTTTAGGGTTCAGGGTCTCAGGGTCTGAGAGTTTCAGGGTTTCAGGGCCTCAAGATTTCGGGGTTTGGGTTCAGGGTATGGGCCTCATTTTTTCTCCTAGACCCTCAGCCCTAGCACCGTGGACTACCAGCAATACACCCTAACCCTAAACCCTAAACCCTAAACCCTGAACCATCCTTAAAGGCCTAGACCCCGAAAACGGAGGGTTTAGCGTTTAGGGCTTGGGGTTTAGGCGTCAAGGTTTAGGGTTCAGGGTAGCCCCTGAGGTTGAACCCGGCAGTCCAAAGGATAACATTAAATCCTCACCCCCAAGAAACCCTACACCCTAAACCCTAAACATCCCTAAACCCTAAATCCTAAACCCTAAACCGTAAACCCTAAACCTCAACATCCCTAAACCCTAAACCCTAAATCCTAAACCCTAAACATCCCTAAACCCCTAAACCCTATAAACCCTAATCCCGAAACCCCAGCCCCAGCATTCACAGGCCTTGCACAGGCGCCATGCTGCCGGGTTGGGGCCGAAGGAGGTGCCCAGGTTGAATACGGTTTAGGGTTTAGGGTTTAGGGTTTAGGGTTTAGGGTTTAGGGTTTAGGGTTTAGGGCTTGGGGTTTGAGGTTTGGGGTTTAGGGTTTAGGATTTAGAGTCTTGGGGTTCCCCAAGTCTATTTAGGGCTTGGGATTCAGAAGTCTAGGGTTTGGGGTCTGGGGTGGGAAATTTCTAGACAGTGTTCCCCTCGAGCCGCAGCCAAGGATCGTTCCGCGCATCGGGCTTAGGGTTGAGGGTTCAGAGTTTAGGGTTTAGGGTCCAAGGGGGGTTCAGGCCTAGGGTTTAGGGTCGATGGGGGTGTTAGGGTGTAGGTTTGGGTCTATACGGCTCAGTTTATATGCCTTCTGGTTTCCCAGAGTCGGGGGTACCCCTTCTTGGGGGGTTCCAGCCAGCACACGGATGAAAAAGTCTTCCGTCCTGTTTGTCTGGGCGGGGGGGGGGGGGGGGGAGGATGCACTACCAAGGGTACATCTTATGTTGGGAAATCCTCATCTTGGAACTGTACAGGTGCAAACTTTATTCGGAAATCTAGATACAAGGGACAATGGAGGTTAGGAAACTTAGGGTACGCTATTTTCGGGAAGCTGTGTTCTTTTGCAACGTGTGTATCGTGCTTTGCTTGGAGCAGCCCCGCTTCCTTGCCCCGCTCCTCCCCCAGCCGGTCCTTTTCCCAGAGATTTGAGCCGTAGTGCGCCGGCCAGGTCATCATTATCTGCTGCGGCACGTTGGCCACAAGACACTGCATGCAGATCCGACCTACATCTCGCGGGGCTCCCTGTCGGGGACCTGGTAGTCTGGTAGAGCATGTGTTCCTCGCTTTGTATCTTGTTTGCGCCAGCGCGCACCTCCTCTGATGCAACCAGTGTACCAGCTACTTGCAGATCCTGCGGGGCACCCCGCGACGATGGGGGCCGCGGGAAACATCGGCTTCCCAGAAAGGCTTGATGGCACATGCAGGGAGCGCTCCTTGCAGACGTCCGTCGCTGAACAGTCGTGGACATACTTTGCTGCCCAGCCTTTGCCCACACCCTTGTCGCTTCTCTGCGTGCACCGCGCGCTTTGCTGGTCGCTGCGGGCTTTACTAGTGCTAGGATTCACGGCACGCTGCAAGACGCTGCAAGACGTGGTGACACGTGACTCATCCTGCCCGGCGAGGGACGTCCGGATCGCAGCTGAACTTCCAGCAAGATGTGACGAAGCCCTCCTGCAAAGCATGGGAGCTCCGATCCTACTCCTCTTGGCTGCTTTCGTCGGCGACGACGCCTTCTCAAGGCGCATTCCCGAACCTCAAGTCTGGAACTCGCCTGCTCGGTGACAAGGCGCGCATGCTGTTGGTGCGGCACAAGTCGCCGGGCGGATCACGGCACGCAGCTGCGTTGCTGCTCTCCAGCGCTAAACGTTGCAACCCCCTTGGAAGGTAGCACGCTCACCTCAAGAAACAAACTGAGCATCTGAGCCATCGCTGATGTGAATGTGATCCATATCCCCGAGCATGGCGACAGGGCATCCCAGGAAGAGGAGCCCGTGGTCGTAAGAACTTCAAGAACTCTTTAGGGGTTTAGGGTTCAGGGTTTATTGTAGTACAAGCTTAGATCAGCTCCCGGCAACGCACAGAAAGCGCCTCGGCTTACTTAACACAGGCGCTTTTTGCACTTGGCAACACCCTGCTTGGACTGCCTTGTGGTCACTTGTCGTTCCATGCTTGGGCAAGAGCCTATCGATGGAAAGCCCTAAACCCTAAAACTCTCTTTCAAAACCCCAAGAAGTTTCCGCAACACGACGGCCTGCATCAGTCTGGTGTCCGCCTTGTGCGTGCCCGGCGCGCACCCTAACGCGCCTTTTTCGGGCCCTTGGGGTTTAGGGAGTTTAGGGCCTGGTCTCAAGTTGTCTGTTGCGTTTTTTTCAATTCAGGCTCTTATGTGAATCGATGCCGGCCATGTCGAAAGTTGCAACGAGGCCACCACCGCGGCCCTACGTTTGGAGCCAGCTTGCCCAGTGCCTTCGAGGTTGTCTTACCAATTCTTCAACGTATCAGAGGACGGTGCCAGCGCGTGCGCAGCAAAGGTCTCTTTGGGCGGGTTTACGGCCAGCCAAACCAGCAAAGGAAGGACAAACCTTATGGGGGCCTGAAGTCAAGACGCCTGAGCCGAGCTTCTCCAAGGCCTGGACCAGAACTCTGCCAAAAGTTTGCGTGTTTTTCTTGCGCAGGGGGCACTCATGGGCAATCTCTTCCGCAGAGCCACCCCGACCTTCCACGCAAGGCTGCCTGCGCACAGTTTATGGCTGAAGTTCACGGTTTCAGTTCGAACTCAATGAAAGCACTTTTGCTGAAAGACGACTTAAAAGAAGCGCAGCGGTCTTGGGCAGTTCCGCACATGCTCAGCAAGTGCAACTGCAGGGTGGCGGCAAGCTTGGGCAATACCAACGAGACGACTTTGGCCAGCCAGAGCAATTACCATCACGGCAATGCTGGACACGGAAATGGGATTTTGAAAGCTACGCCAACCACTCCGGAGTGGTTTTGCCTTGCTTGCCTCTCATGTCTGGCATCCGGCGTTCACAAGAATTCACAAAGAGTGCCAGGAATCCAAAGCGCATGTGGTCGCTGGCAGCCGAAGTTACAGTTTCCGCGCGTGTTGACCTCGCTGTAGCACCTGCAACTGCTGCTCGCATATCACATTTCAACCCCAATCCGTTGATAGCACTTTCGCAGAAAGCCGATTTTGGGAAACTGGAGCAAATGCAATCACCAGAGTGATTTTGATCTGCTTGCCTCTCATGTCGGGCATCCTGCGTGAAAACGAAACCAGAAAGAGTGCCAGGAATGCAAAGCGCATGCGCTTCTCAAGACAGCTGTCCTGGTCGCTGGCAGCGGAATTTACAGTTTCTGCACGTGTTGGCATCACTGCAGCACCTGCAACTGCAGCTCGCATGTCACGTTTCAACTCCAATCCATTGGCAACACTTTGGCAGAAAGCCGATTTTGGCAACCAAGAGCAACTGCTATCAAGGGAAAGGTTTTGCGTTGCTTGCCTCTCGTGTCGGGCATCCGGCGTTGACACGAAACCAGAAAGAGTGCCAGGAATGCAAAGCGCATGTGCTTCTCAAGACAGCTGGCCTGGTCGCTGGCAGCCGAATTTACGGTTTCCACTGTTGAACTTGCAACTGCTGCTCGCATATCACGTTTCAACCCCAATCCGTTGATAGTATTTCCCCAGAAAGCCGATTTTGGCAACCCGGAGCAACTGCAATCACCGGAGTCGTTTTGCTTGACACGCAGATTCTACAGTTTGCGCACGCGTCCAAAGCCTGGGTCCCAAGGCGACCCTCTGTGGCACTTGCAACTGTAAGCTCGCATCCGTACTCATCCTTCTACCGACAGGTAGGTCTTTTTGGTTTTTAGATAGCCGCACGCAGTCGAAAGTGGGAGCGAAAGGAGAAGCAAGTGGTTAGCAGGCGCTTGCAAATCGATGATGTGGCTGACGGAATCCTACCGTGTCGGCAATTGCAGCCAGGCCGACGGCACCTCAGGCCGAACCTGTTAGGAGGCAGATGGAGCCAGCCTGCCCCTGCACGCGCCACTGCATGGACTGCATTGCACAAACGAAGTGGGCTCTTTGTGCTCTGTCGGAGCTGCTGGCGTGGCCAATCTGAAATCAAGACACCCCCCCTCAGACAGTCCTCATGCGCGCAGCCTGAAGTTTCGGTGACAGGGCTTTGGCTTCGAAAAATTGTCTACTGACACCGAGATCAGGGGGCTGACTTCTTGAGGAGTGCCAACTCCAACAAGGAAGCATCAGGAAGGCAAATGGAGTGTGTGTTGTCGCGTTGTCAAGATAGACGCCACCGATTCAGCAAGCATGCGCGAGCATTCCCAGAATGCACGCTTTCTTCCGGTGCCTGCGCAAGGGGCATTTGCCTCATGAGTGCAGGACCAGCCCCTGGCGGTCCTTCCGGCCCTCAAGGCGGTGATGCGAAGTCTCTGTCCAGCATGAGCCCCATGTCTGCGCCGCCCTGCCGTCCAACCGGCAATACATCTGCTCTCTCCTCGAAGGGCCACAGCATATCGAGTGAATTGGCTCGTTGTCAGATTCGTGCGAATTGCATGCGCCGACGAAAAGGTCTTTTGTTGCCAGGGCGTTCAATCAGTTGAGCTGCGGCCGAAGTCTTGTGGACCTTGGGTTCTGATATGAAGGGATCTCCCATGCCCCCTTGCACGACCATGCCAGTCCTCTTTGCGAGCTGACGCGGGCTATTGCGCACTCAACCTCTCGCAGAAGCTATCGCGCGCTGGCGCGCCCCAGACCTGACGCGCCTACCAAAACCGAACTCCTTAAGTTACTCCTTTCATGAGCGACTCATAGAGTCAGAGACAAAACTCATGCCACCGCTCAGTTCACCTGTGGCCACAGCTTCTTTGATCTTCTTTGAGCTTCCTGGGCGGCTCGCAGTGATGACTTGGCGTGGAGCTTGCCAATGAGCCTGCAAAGAGAGTTGGCCACAAGTCGTAAAGCGCAATGCAGCTCTAGCAACTCCGAAACAGAAGTGTCAGAGTGTGTTCATACCCCGCGAAAACCCGTGCAAGACTCCCCTTATGCCGCCCCGTTCTACCATGAACGCATGGCGGCAGCACATGGAGTGCCACGTGGAATCCCTTGGCCCAAGTCGGTCTGTTGGCTCGCGAGATGGCGTGGCCTTCTCGGGGCAGTGCAGTGGAAAGCCATGGCGTAGCCACAGCGAATCTGCCGGGCTAAGCATGAAAGCACCGCAAACAGCCTCTGGAACAGAGGCACAGCAAGAGCCCATCACGAGCAGTCTTGACACTGCAGGACAGGCACGGGTGCTAGTACCTTCGGCCGGGGGCTTGAGACCCCACAACAGTTTCTGGAACTCCTTGGGGAGATGTGTAATTTGCACGGAAAGTGGACAGGCAGCTCACCAGCAATCAGGGTCGGCCGTAGTGGCACGTGATTTCTGGCTCTGGTGCCTCTCGCATCTTGCATCTTGTCCTTGGAACCTCAGTGAAGCAACACAAGAGTGGCAGCAACGCCACGCGGATGAGCTGTAGAAGGCCACTCACGCCGTCATGCCCTTGGGCAGGGGCGGTCCGGGGCAGACTGTCATTGCCACTGATCGTCACCGGATGTCCTTGTGGTAGCTTGTCACTTTGTCGTCAAGATGCTGCCAATGAAATCCGCTGATTCAGGTGCTTCTTTAGAAGAACCACTCTCTCTTGCGAGTTCTGGCGAACTCTTAGGCCTCTAGGCATGGCTTACCAGCAAAGTACGACGTCTGTGCAATGCGGACGTGCTACACACTGCAGCAACAATGCTTTAGAAAGCCATTTCTCGACGGGCCATTTCTCGACAGGAGAGGACAACTCGTGCTTCTGCATGTCAGACTCTGCAACTCAGTTGCAGCTCCGCCGTCAACTCGCCTTGGAGACCGAACGGCATCTCCGAGCATATGCGTTTGCACAAGGAGCTGTCAAGGCTCCAGAGTTGTCGTCAAATCAAATCTTGCGGGCGTGGCTGGGCAGCTGCCGAAATAGCCTGAAAGGCAATCCGAAGCTGTCAGAGGCTCAAATCAGGTCTGCGTGTTGCTCTGATTGCTCTGCCGGATTAGGCTGAAGTCAGGGACAGCACACCATTTGGGGAACATGCCCCTCTCTTGTACTCAAGCATCGTTGATGCACCGCAGTTCAAAAACCGCCTCAAGGCGATCCTGGCGATCCTTCTGGCTGGCGGCATCTGGGGAAGACTGCACCTGCGAGCAAGATCGTCCATGGCTCTTGCTCGAGCCTCTCCCGCAACTGCCAGGGCTTAGGGTTTATGCTCTCTATAGGGTAGAAGGATGCTGCGGCATCCCGGATTGCGGTGGCATCGGAGCTTCTGGCTCTGGCGTTGCCCGCACACCCGCGCCGGTGTGCCCACACGAAAGCACGAATTGGCTACTCTGCGGCTGTCATGCTCCACAACGCAAACACATGCAAACTGAACCTCTTAGAGAACAGAGCGCAGACAAAGGCGCAGATCTTGATTCAGCTAACAAGAGGGTTGGAGGAGAGCAATGGAATGCCATCCGCACACCTTACCCACAGATACGTCACCGACCAGTGTCGAAGCTCGCGCACTCGGAGTCCTAGCCATGCCAGGAGGCTCTGCTTGCGCAAGACGTGGCTTCGCCCTCTGCGCTTCCTCAAAGCGCTGGGGCCTCCAGGCCTCTGGGCCACTAAGGGGTCAGGCTTGCACCGTCTGACAATCGTGCGAGGGGGTAGGGAGGCCGGGGGGTCCTCAATGGGAAGTGACCCTAAAC